TCTTTTGGAACATCACACAAGCCTTACACCAAAAAACTCTCAGGTGATCATAAGAAACATCTTTAGCAAACCAAACTCTGTCTAGGACATCACTATCCATAGCAACAGCAGGATATAAATTGATAACATAGGCAATAGTCTTAAGTGTTTTTGCCCAAAATTTATTTGGAAGTTTAGTCTCTAAAAGCAGGCACCTAACTCTTTCAACTAGAGTTCTATTCATCTTCTCTGCCAAACTATTCAATTAAGGCGTCTTGGGCAGAGTTTTATGATGACAAATTCCTTGTTCCTTGCAATAGTTATCAAAGGGACCATAACATTCACCACCATTGTCAATGCGAATACATTTTAATTTCTTCCTCGTCTTTCTCTCAGCTAAGGCCCGAAATTCCTTAAACACGCCAAGTGCTCTTTAGATTTCAAAGGATACACCCAGAGCTTACGATAATGAACATCAATGAAGGTCACAAAGTAAAGTGCACCGCCTTTGGACTTTACTTTAAAAGGTCCACACAAATCAGAGTGTGCTAGCTCCAATAAATCGGGCTTTCTTGAGGGAGGATGGCTATGAAAGGAAACCCTTTTCTGTTTGCCAGCTAAACAATGGATGCAACTTTTCATCTTTTCTTGTTTCACTCTAGAAAGCAAACTTTTCTTAGCCAAACATGTAATCCCCCTTTCGCTCATATGACTCAATCTTCTATGCCATAATTCTGATAAAGTGTCAATTTCCACCAGATTTATGGAGTCATTAAGAATAGAGCCCTGTGTCACATATAAATGATCAGACTTGAGTCCTCGAGCCACTACTAACGAGCCCTTGGTGAGCTTCCACTAGACATTAAAGAGGGCATTATGGTAACCTTCATCATCTAATCTTCCTGCGGAGATCAAATTTAAAGGAAAGTTTGGATCATGCTTGACATCTTGAAGAACTAACATTGAACCATTATCAGTTTTCAAACAAATTGCGCCACCACCAAACACCTTAACTTCACTGGCATTACCCATCTTTAACACTCCAGAATCAACAGGAGTATAAGATGAGAAAAAATCTTTTCTTGGTGTGACATGTGAGGTAGCTCGAGAATCTACCATCCAGCTCGTCTCATTGGATACCAAATTGAAGAGCGTGCGATCGCATAATAGCAATGCGGGCCGCAGAGTGAGGCACAATGTTGGCTAATTTTGAGGAAAATTATGCGGCCAATTATGCGATCGCATAATCGATATGCGGGCCGCATAGTCATCGCATAACCTCCTTGGGTTTTTTGCGAAGGGCAGTTCTGCGGTGCATTATGTGACCGCATAACAGGTATGTGGACTGCATATTGGTCGCATACCCGGGCAGAATCTTCAAGTCTTGAGGGCCACTTTTGCGGTCCCTTTTGCGGGCCGCATATCAGTTATGTGGTCGCATATGCGACCGCAGATTGAGTCAGGGCTCCTATTTTCTAACTTTTAAAACCCGACCCCATTCCATTAAAAACAAACTCATTAGACCCTCTTGTGCTATTTTCTACTACATTTAGAGTGAGAGAAAGAGTTCTAGAGGGAGGATGTGATCCTCACCAAGTCACTACCCAAATCTTTGAACATTATCAAGTAAAGTTACTAAGCCTTCATCCTAAGGGGTAAAAACTTGTGCCCTAACCTTTGATTTCAAAATTCTTACTAAAATGAGTAATTAACAAGTGGGTTCATGGGTATAAGGATTAATTATCTTGCATGCATGTATGATAAAAGGGTATGGGGAGATTGTGAGCTAAAAATGTAACAAATGGGGTATAGAATGATAGAATCTCTCACAAAAAGTTCATAAAATCACAATGCACACTTAGTGCTTGATAATGTGCCCAAATGAGCTATAATCTTGATTATCCCTCTAATTTATGGTTAAACTTGTAATTCTCATAAAATAGATCGAAGTTGCTAGGAGTTCCGGAGTTATTGTAAGAATTTAAGGAAAGCTCTATTGAGGTATGTATGGCTAAAACCCCCTCTTCTTAGAAATCGAGCTCCTTCGGTGTCCATGCAAATGTTGTAAGTCCAAAATCTTATTGATGTATTGCTTGTTATTTTAAATTAATTGGTGTTGCAGAAATATATGTGAAAGGTGTGTCTCAATGTGTTCAATATGCTATTCTTGGTAATTTAAAGATGTGTGAAGAATGTGAACCATGTGCCAGACTGCCTAGTTTCAAGTCAAGTTTAAATTGAGATTGTTATGCCAAACTATGTGAAATCCTCTCTATGCTTACAACTTGAATTGCTCTTGTATGTGCCTATTATCTTAAATCGCAAGGTTAATGTTGAAAGTGGAATTGATGTGAAATATGGGGGAAAAGAGTTTGAGTTATGAAATGTGGCCTAGTGCAAAGTATGATGTGATAATTGTGGCCCCAAGTGCCGATGAACTGATATATGTGAAATAAAGATTGAAATGAGATGATTGATGAAAAAGGAAAAACGTCTTGGTAAGACGGCCTAGCCGATCGGGCTGTGATCGGATGCCATGCCGCACACATTGTGGTATTGTGCATATATTAAAACCGGAAAGTGGGAATGAAATTGTGACTGAGGTACATGTCTCAAATAGCCGATCGGGTCGTGATCGGACTCCGTGCAAGAAAGCGGTGGTATTTTGAATGATGATGCAACAGTATTAAATGTCCCAACCTAAAGCTATGGAAATTATGTGAAAGCTATGTGATCCCTTTTATTTGATGATGTGGTGATTGTTTAAAGCTTTTGTTGATATTTATGATTTCTTTATTCTTGTATGATAGTTCTATCTAATGAGATGGTGTTTAGTTATACATACTAGTACTATTCCATGGTACTAACGTTCCTTTTGCCAGGGGCGCTACATCTTAGAATGGATGTAGGTGGTTCCATAGTAGACAGTGTCGATCGTAGATAGCGGAACATCCTCCTCTCAGCAATCTTGGTGAGCCCCTTTTCTTTCAGAGGTTATGCAGTATATCTTTTGTTATAAATTATCACTTTTTGAGGTATAGCCCGGGCCTTGTTGCCGGTATAATCATAAATGTCTTTTGTATCCTTAGAGGCTCCGCAGAAGTTTGTGTGGGTTATGTACGGGGGTTAGATGGGTCACTGAACTGTGTTGTAATTCTAAACTCCTGTTCCTTTAAACTATAACTGTATGAAATTTTGGGGACTTAACTATGGTTTAAGGGTTGTAATGTGAAATGAACTAACAATGTTACATGTGCGATCTTTCCTACTATCTAATTAAATAAAAGCATGGTTTCTTGATCATAGTGAGTTGGGTAGAGAGTGTCCTAAAAGGCTTGCTCAGTCGGGTTCACTCGATTGAGCGCCGGTCGCGCCTCCCGAGGTTGGGGCGTGACAACGATAATGATCATCAATGAAGGTTACAAAGTAAAGTGCACCACCATTTGACTTTACTTTAAAAGGACCACACAAATCAGAGTGTACTAGCTCCAATAAATCGGGCTTTCTCGTGGGAGGATGGCTACGAAAGGAAACCCTTTTCTGTTTGCCAGCTAAACATTGGATACACCTTTTCAGGTTTGCTTGTTTCACTCCAGAAAGCAAACTTTTTTTAGCCAAACACGTAATCCCCCTCTCGCTCATATGACTCAATCTTCTATGCCACAATTCTGATAAAGTGTCACTTTCCACCAGATTTATGGAGTCATTAAGAATAGAGCCCTGTGTCACATATAGACCAGACTTGACTCCTCGAGCCACCACTAACGAGCCCTTGGTGAGCTTCCACTGACCACTAAAGAGGGCATTATGGTAACCTTCATCATCTAATCTTTCTGCGGAGATCAAATTTAAAGGAAAGTCTGGAGCATGCTTGACATCTTGAAAAACTAACGTTGAACCATTATTAGTTTTCAAACAAACTGTGCCAACACCAAACACCTTAACTTCATTGGCATTGCCCATCTTTAACACTCCAGAATCAACAGGAGTATAAGATGAGAAAAAAATCTTTTCTTGGTGTGACATGTGAGGTAGCTCCAGAATCTACTATCCAGCTCATCTCATGGAATACCAAATTGATGACATTTTCGTTCTACATGTTAGTAGAATGAAAATGATTTTCTCCTCCAATTAGTTTTCTTCTTCCCCAACTTTTAAGGTCACTGCAACCTTAAAGAAAGTGCAGCTTCGTGCATCATCCCTAGCCTTGGTACTTGTAAGTTCTAATAGTCCAACATATGAATTCAATCACCTAGTTCAGTATAAAGGAGTTCTTGAAACACCATAGAATCCAAAATAAAATTGGAAAAGAAAAGAATAAAAAAGAAAGAGAGAATTGAGTGGTAATAATAGAACTATTACGTACCTTACATTTTAGAGTTGTAAAGTTCGATTCTCATAAACTTTCGTTTATCTTTTTCTGCTAGCTTCAAAGAAAATCTATATATGTCCTCCACTGCCCGAGCCTCCAGCATGCTAGAAAAGATTTAGAAGAAATCAGCGTACAAAGTACAGTAAGTGAGAACTTTAGTTACAAGCACAGAAAATGTTGGCTTTTAATAAAAGTGCAAGGAGCTCAATTTTGTTCCTAAAAAAGTGAAAGCTTATATTAAAAAATAATTGGATTTTGGAATTGGCTAAGAGTGATCCTCACATTTGGTAGCTCCAGCGTTTAACTTGCTTTTGGGCTAATGGAACTGGCCACCGCTCACACGAGCCTCTTTCGGAATATTTCTGCGGTCGCCTTCTTCTACATATTTTGGAAATGTTAAAGTATAATAACAGCTCCTAGATTTTACAAAAATCACAGAACTACCATTGCAAAAAAAAAAATCTTTTTATTTATTTATAGTAATTCTCCTTTTATTTTTAGTAAATCTCCATTTTTTTTTTTTTTTTGGCTCTTTTCCTTAGCGAAAATTATGTGAGATGGTACGGTTAATAGTTTTGAGCAAATATGTGGTTTTCTTGATAAATGTATCTATTTCTCATGTTTTCTCCCGTTATAAATAGAGAGAATAAGAGGCAGCAATCAAGAAGCCATTGAAGAAATTTAGTAAAAGGTTTCTTCAATGGCTATCTACATCAAAGCATTTGTTCTTCTTCCTCTACTTTTTGTTTCATCCTACGCTAGGCACAAACCTATTGCCCTAGGCTTTGACAATGATGACGACTCTTCCATAGGCATATTTGATCCTTCCCAAAAAGAACTTAAGGAATTCTTGAAACACCTCGACGGCGAGAAGAAGAAGAAAAGCGAGAAACATGACCTTATATTTCCCGAATATCCTTTTCCCAAAGAGGAGCAAGAAAAGGAAGAAGCACCACTAGAGCCGGCCGTCGGAGGAAAAACTGGCAATGTGAAGCCGGATTTCGAGACGGCAAATCTAGGTGGTTGGATGGTGCATTCACCAAATGCTGGTGTTGCAGCCATGCATATACAATTGATGCCAAACAACAAGGCTGTTTGGTTCGATACCACAAATCTTGGACCATCAGCAATTCAACACAACCCTCCATTTTGCAAGCCTGTTCCAGAAAGGCCTGGTGAGACAGATTGCTTTGCTCATGGCGTTCAATATGACATTGAGAGTGGTCAAGTCAGGACATTGAAGGTTTGTTACCTGCTTATTTCCATGTCCCATTTTTATCTGCGAAATTTTATCCAACACACACATGCATGCATGCATGCGTAGGCATATACATATGCATGTGGATTCTTTCTTATCTTCAATTATATTGATGTTCAGATAATGAGTGATCCATGGTGCTCATCGGGAGGTTTGTCATCTAACGGCGATCTAATAAGCACGGGAGGTTTTAAAGAAGGAATCCGAAGTATCAGAATCATGAATCCATGTGATAACTGCGACTTCCAGGAAAATGCCAACGGCCTTGCTGCTATGAGATGGTACAATATCATTCCAATTTTATTTTTCAACTCTATGCACTATTGGTGTAAAAGAATATAAGATGCATCCTTTTCCAAAATTAGAACTCACAATTTGCAAAAATTCATAACAGGTACGCTACTCAACACATGCTTGAGAACGGTAGCTTCATTCTTGTTGGAGGTCGTGGTGCACACAACTACGAAATCATTCCACCAGGAAAATTGCAATTCCAGGTGCAACAATTCGGCTTAAATTTCCTTGCTGAGACCGAAGATGAGAAAGAGAACAATCTCTACCCATTCGTCAATCTTCTTCCTGATGGGACCGTATATATTTTTGCCAATGATAGATCAATAATCATCGACCCTTATAGTGGAAAAACTATCCGCGAACTTCCTAAACTTCCTGGAGGCTCGAGAAACTATCCGGCATCAGGAATGTCTGCACTTTTGCCAATCAATCTCAATACTCCTAAGCCTGAGGATGTTGAAGTTGAAGTCATTGTTTGTGGTGGAAATACTCATGATGCCTTCAAGTACTCGGAGAATCCGCCAAGACAATTCTTCCCTGCATTGAAAGATTGTGGAAGGATATTACCAAACAAAGCAGGAGCTCAATGGGATATTGAAGAAATGCCCTCAGCAAGAGTAATGGGAGACATGTTACTTCTTCCAACTGGAGATGTATTGATCATTAATGGAGCTAAAACAGGTACTTCTGCATGGGATGCTGCTGAGGAACCTAATCTTGTCCCACTTCTTTACAGCCCAACCAAGCCAAAAGGACAGAGGTTTAAGGAATTGGCCCCTACACTGATTCCAAGAATGTACCATTCTGTTTCTGCTGTTTTGCCAGATGGCAAGATTTTGGTGGCAGGCAGCAATACACATGCTTTGTATGATTATCAGGCTAAGTACCCAACTGAATTGAGAGTTGAGAAATTCTCACCTCCTTACTTGGCACCTGAGCTGGATCAGCACAGGCCACAAATTCTTGAGAATGGAGCCAACAAGGAGATGAGATATGGCCAGGACTTCAGTGTCAATATCAAGTTGGATGAAGTTGTGGATGAGACTGATATTAAGGTAACCATGTATGCACCACCTTTCACCACCCATGGCTATTCTCAGGGACAGAGATTGCTCATTTTGCAGCTTAAATCTGCAACAAACCAACAGGTCACTGTAGTCGCACCACCCTCTGGCAAGCTAGCTCCACCAGGCTACTACTTACTCTTTGTGGTTCACCGCGGCGTGCCTAGCCGTGGAATGTGGGTGCGTATTGACCAATAGAAAATTATGATCAGCATCTCCAAATAAAATTCTTGTATTATGTATACTGTTCATGTTATATATACAAAAACAAATAGATAGCAATATCAACTATCAAACCTTTGCTCTCTTGTTTTAACTTTTAAAGGTGGTCAAAAACATGTCATGGTATATTATACTAAGTATTACTATATTACTAACTACTAAATCCTTCAACTCTACGGTTTAAGACTCTAGTGGACTGCCCCTTCTCCTTCAATAATTTGGAAGGTCTATAGCATGTGAAGAAAAGAAAAGAGAGTAATAAAGGAAATCTTTCGGAAATGGATGGTGAGACTGACCACAAAAATTTTGTGGCTTGACTAATTTAGATCATTATAGATGGAAGTTATAGTCGTGCAAATTTGGAAGACAAATTGTACAATCGAGTGGTGCTTTGCTGGTTGAGGCAATGAAAGGGCGGGTGAATGGCAAAAGAATACTTTGGGACGTGTACGTTGCTCATTTTCTAATGGTCTTAGCTTGGAACAATCATAGTTAAGGAAAAAAGGAGCGAATGTAATAAGCCTGTGTTGATAATGGTAGGAGGTCATTATCATGTTTTCTAATGCCGCAAAGGAACTGAGTCGCCTTTAAAATGTTTTAAATTTAAAAAAAAAAAAAAAAAAAATAGAGTGGAGTGAGAGTTCACCACACCACATGCGAAAATACCATTTAGCATCGTTTGTAGAATTTGTTCAGTTGATGATCAAACATTATCACAAGTCAGAACCAGCGTTTGAAAAGGCGTTTTTAGAGAGAGGCGCATCAAAAATGCCCCGAGGCAATTCGGGGCGTACGCCCGAGTGTTGATGCGGGTTTTTGAGGTGAGGCGTAAGCTAAAGATGCTTTTTCAAATTAAGACAAAATTTGCTCAATAAATCCTTAATATAATACCCAAATTCTCAAAAGCCAGCTTGTAATTACTCAAAAGTTTTAAAAAGGAACTGAAATACCAAAGTTAAAAGTCAAAGCAAGTCGCCTAGGTTCTTAAAAATGATTTTTAGTTTTGTAAAGCGGAATTCTCCTTTGACTCGATCTTTAATTGAAGTATAGCATTATGAAAACTCTTTCAGAAATTCAATAAGTTTCTCAAGGATTTAGAGAAAATCCGACATAAGACTCGACTTTGATTTTTTTTTATATTTCTTTTCTCGTTTTTTTCTAGAAGCCTTAATTTATGGTCTTTTCCAATTCTTTAGCTTGTCCTTTAGTCTTTTACTATCTCTCAAAAGCAATGAACATTCATTTTTTTTTTCAATTACAAAGAAAACTTCTGTCACGACCCAAACCGATGAGTTGCGACACGCACCCGGTAACTTACTCAACCGAGTACCAACGTAACGTATCTTTCGTATCATTCTATCATAGGTAAATGAACCGGAGTAAATCATGAGGGAATACAAACTTATACATATGACATACTGGCCTGTAAGATCAAAAATGATCACTCGTACACTGAACATAGGCCGACAATGCCATACCATCTTTCATATACATAACATATGTCTATAAGCCTCCAAGAGTAGATCAATACCATAAAGGTCGGGACAGGGCCCCGCCATACCAATCAATACATGTTCTAATCATGCTGACCAAACGAGCAACTCTGGAGCAAATGGAGCGCACCAACACCTTCCGCTAAGCTGATAGCCTACTTGGAGGACTCTCGACCTGTCTATCGGGACCTGCGGGCATGAAACGCAGCGTCCCCAGGCAAAAGGGACGTCGGTATAAATTATGTACCGAGTATGTAAGGAATGAAAATCAGTAAACAATAGACATGAGAGAAACATAGAGTAAAAGACTCAACATGTAAGCCTGAATAACTCTGTGAATCATTAATATATAATGCCATGCATATGCGTATAAATGTCATATCATGCTAGGTCTATGCGTACATAACATCATCGAGTCTCAAAGGGCATCCCTTCATATCATCTTGGCCACTGTGGGCAAATCATCAACGTATACCAGCTGATCAGGTGGTAGTGCGTATATAACGCCGTAACCTTTTCCCATATCCCATATACATATATACGCGTATATAACGCCATCTGGTCATAGGTCAATGTGCATGTATAAATTAATGCAATGCATAAGAAGTACGTCAATAAAATATTTCGGAATGTCATAAGACCATTATGCCTTTGAATAATATCATGAAGTAAACTTTATCAACTTACGTATTTTCTGAGACCCATGAACAGATGATAGAATAATAGGAAACATGGGAAATCAAGAACATCATCTCTAGCATTTCTATGAATAGAGTTATTTGTGGAAGTTGTGCATTTGCTCGTTTTGTTTGTATCATTTGGATCATGCCAAAAAGAAAGAAGGGATAGCCTTAACATACCTGAGCCGATTCTCTTGACAATCCTTCTAATACCCGTCAAACGCGACAAAACATGTAACAGCGGCTCAAGGTGGGGAAAAATCTGTATGATGTTCTTAAAAATGATTATACCGGGCTCCCATAGAATTGCAATTTCCGTTGCTATTACGTAGTATAACTTCGTATGAAATTTTGTTGTAGCAAATCACGTTGCTATCATCTAATCTTGTATGAATTTTGTGGCTTCTTGTTGATTGACTTGGACGTTAGTTTGCTGAAGAAAGATCATGTTGCCATAAGCATTGTAAAGGATTCATATGAATTCCTTCTTTGAGGCTTCTTGTAGTAAGCATCTCAATATTGTAATTTAGAGAAGCTTTGTATATTAGTGGGTGTGGACCCCACTTTTGGAAATTTTATCTAAAAATTCTCCTAACATGCCACCAATTTATAAAGACCAATGAGTCACTATATGGTAGGGGTGGCAATTTGAGCCCAAATCCATCCAACCCGCCTAACCCGTCCAGATATAATGGGTTGGGCTACAAACATTTTAGCTCAAGGGTCAATTTGGGCTAAGCCCAAGTTAACCCATTATTTTTATAACCCATTCTGACCCATTAAGCAGCCCAAATACAACACATGAAACTCACCCAAAACAAAGGGCTCTCAACCCAACTTCTCTAGAAATTTACTTAGTCGCCCCAAATTTACCTTTTTTTTTAATTTTCTGTTCTTTTGTTTTTCTGCACCGCCCACCCCCTATAGCCCCCTCCCCTGGCAAACCCCCTAATAAAATTTTACTTTTTTTTTTGTATTTTTAATTTTCTGTTTTTCTGCACCACCCTCCCGCGTAAAACCCCCTCAAAAAAAAAATTTTAGTTTTTTTATGTATTTTAATTTTTTATTTTTTCGTTTTTTTGTACCACCCTACCCCCTACCCCCCCCCCCTCTGCGCAAACCCCTTCAATTTTCTTTTTACTTTTTTTTTGTATTTTTAATTTTCTGTTTTCTATTTTTTTGTTTTTTTGCACCACCCACCCATCCCAACCCCCACCCCACCCGCAAAATATTTTTCAACTTACACATTTTAAGGTAAAAGGCTTTTTTATGCAAGATGAGAATGGTTCTAAAACATGGGTCAAGTTGGGCGGCTTGGGTTATGACCCATTGTTTAGCACATCTTGACCTAGCCCATCTTAGCCCAAGTACACTTTGGGCTGGGTTGGGCAATGACCCATTTATTGACCTAACCCATCTTGAGCCGCCCAAATTCAGCCCAACCCACTCATATTTGCCACCCCTATTATATGGGCATAGTTGGCTGCCACGTTGGGGCTATCAAGCCTTATCCAATAAGTTCCCCATATCCATAATTAACTATTAATCCCCCACTAATTCAATAATTAATCAATTACCCACATAATTAAGAATTATCTCAAATTACTTAAAATACTACTCAATATACACTTTATACACCTTACTATCATGGTCATATGGTACCTTGTATGGTACTAATCCATAGGTATTATAGCTCGGACCGCATTTTATCTCAAATTGTCAAACTTCGACGAAACTCATTTTCTTCGATTCACTTATCCTCTCACCTTCAAGAATTTACTTATCACTTGTTTGAAATAGCATAATACTTATAATCCCAAAATAATCTCATTCCCGAACTTACGTTGATTAACTTACGACGAAACTTCAACGTACGAAAATGCGAAATGTAACATCTCATTTTCGAGCTTTCATCAATTTACTTATGGCGTACTTTCACGTATGAAAACATGGGGTGTAACATCATTCCCCCCCCCCCCCCCCCCCGTAACATTCTTCCTCGAATGTTGACTGATGCACTTATCATTATCATAACTTATAGTTCTTGCGAATACTTTAGTACTCTCCTTGCCATCTAGGTAGTTGTTATGTGAATAAATCCAAAGTCCAGGGTATTCCCACCTGTATGTCTCTTTCTCACACCACGACCTGTGGTCGGAATTCTTCCAATCTCGTAACACTTGCTACCTTCTATCATGCAGCATGCACGACTTTTTCCTTATATGTGTGCCTATGCTACCCTTCCCTCTAACTGTTAGCCAATCTCTAGGTCTTACTTGTAAACACATACAGAGCTTGACAAGATGTCTCTCTGGGCATCTATAGGTATACTAAAGTTCTTTGCTCGGTACTTTGTTGAACTTACGAATATCGCTATATCTTATTTCATAGACCCAGTTATCTATCTGTATGACTTTACTGCATCTAGGTAGGTCATACTATACCACAACTCTCACTTCGATTTATTGTTACTGAGGTCTGCTACCAAACTCCAAGTTACTCTTTCGCTGCTTATCATATATGTATAAGTCTAAGTCCTTTAATGCTTCCTCATTGCTGTTCATCTTAGGAATGATGGCCTAATCTCATCTCAAACTTTATAACTTTTATCCTGATAACTTTACCTTTTATGTAACACCGCCGCTAGGGTTCACGTCGCATCAAGGAACATTAGAAGTGATTTTCCTGATCCACCTGGGGTCGATACTATACTTCCATAACCCTATTTCATATCATAGTCATCCCAATGTGATTCACCTTATATGGGTATTTTAATCCTGTAAAATTCATGAAATCCTTTTTTTTTTTCAAATCATTACTCAATCGAAGGCCCAAACATCATCCTTTATTTACCCTAATTACACCCTCATTCTACTACGAGGGCAGCATTCCATCTCTTCTAAATGCTACTACTCTTAGAC